ATAACTTCACGTGCGGATTCAATGCTGACCGTCTCGAGCATAGGTAAGTGAAGCCGGTTTTTAGGTTCATGTGAGGCTAATCTTGTAAAAACTGCGTTGTGTCCAAAAGGTGGCACCCTTCCTTTAACCCGCGCCCGGCTGGGGGTCCTGGATTTCCACGCCCTGCTGGGGGGGGGTGTTTGAACACCCCCCCTTGTAACTCGGCTCCTGGGCCACGTAGCGATACGCGGAAGGCGGCGTTCGAAAGAGCGTCAAAAATAATGACGAAATTACTTCGGTCAATTTTTTGGTCAGGTCAAAGGTCAGGTCACCAGAGGTCATTGAAGGCAAAATTTCGCCGATTTCCAGGTAGAATGTCGAAAATTTCCAAGAAGCCAACGCATAACTCGAGAACCAATAGAGCTACAGCGCCGCAGAAAAGCGCATTCGATAGCCCTATTCAAGCCCTTTCTGAGTAATTCTCTCAGATTTGACCTAACGTCAACGGTTTTGCCTGCAGGGGGCAAAAACTGCAAAAATAGCCGATTTTTTCGGAAACAGTTTTTCTGCAATAACTTTTGACCCAAGCCTTGTACAAGCTTACTTTTACCGGCATTGTGTTCCTCTCGTCAAGACGCATCGAATGAACTATAAGTTGACCTTGAAAGGTCAACTTGAAAATTTGACCTCAGGTCAAGGTCATGACCTGACCGGAGAGGGTCATGTTGCATATCAGTCGATCCGTATCGTCGAGCTGAACACATCTAAGGCGTTTTCATCGCTCTAGAATGCCTCTATGAAAAGTTATTTGCGAAAAACTGTTAGATACCATTCGTGACCTAAGGTGACCTCAGGGCATAAACAAGGGTCACGGACACCATTTTCATGTTCAGTGTGTCTAAACCACTTGTAATTCGGTGTTTGGAAGTGTTTATAATGTCTTTTGTCTAAAAGAGGCGCATTTCAATTTTCTCCCATTGACTTATAATGGGGAGGTCGCAAAATTGACCTGACCTTAGGTCATCGATATCAAAATCCTGAGATATACATTTTGTACATGCTATTGCTCTTAGCAATCGCTGAAAGTTTCAAAGCGATCGGTCACTCGGTGTAGCTATGACAGACATTGAAACTTTTTATGAGGTGAGGTCACTTCAAGTGACCTGGTGACCTGACCTTGAATGACCTTGGTCTGAAATTTTCACAACATGTGTAGAATTGATGTATGATAAGGTGTACCAAAAACGGCGGCGCTCCGCGCCGCCGTTTTTGAGATATTCGCGAAAAACCACAAGGGGGGTGTTCAAACACCCCCCCCCAGCAGGGCGCGGGTTAAAAATGAGTGTATAATACATTCGAAACGCGTCGAACTTAAACGAATATTTTTACATGAACTTTGCCGATCTTATACATCGTATTGACGAAAATAGCAACAAAATAGTCAATAATATAATAAAAAACAAAGCTTTCGAAATGTGAAAGTGCTATTAAAAACGTCACCTCAGCACCTCTTCCGATCAACATCGGAATTTTCCAGGGGTCATGTATGGGACCGATGTTATACAACATCGCCTCCATCAGCGCCGCATGCTATGTCCCGACAGAAGTGGATGGCTTCCTCATACGAATGGCAAGATACGCCGACGACACCCAGTTGGTGATCTCAGGGCCGAGGAGGAGGCTACCGGACATGCAGGTGGCGCTGGAGAAGACTCTGGATACGCTGGCGACATTCTTCATGCAAAACGGCATGAAGATCAACGCAGCCAAGACCGAGCTGATGATCATCGGAGACAGAGATGCGCTACGGACCGCTGCCACAGGTCTGACTGGTGTGCGGTTTGTAGAGGAGGACCTCCAGCCCGTGCCGACAGCGAGAAACCTCGGTGTGGTTTTCGACAATCGACTGAGCTTTGAACCCCATATAGACGCCATTGTCACCAAGTGCTTTGGAATCCTAATAGGCCTTATGCACGCGAAGCATCTGCTCCCGACATCGGTGCTACCAACTATTGTCAACGCGCTGGTCATGTTGCATATTCGGTATTGTAGCCAGGTGTTTGGCTGTGTCAACAAAACCGCTGTCAAAAGGTTGCAGAAAGTGCAGAACTTCGCTGCTAGAATTATATCAGGTCGTCACAGATCCCAGCACGTATCTGACGTGATTCGATGCTTGAACTGGCTTCCAGTCACTGAGCTGATAGAATTTAATGATTTGTGCCTGTTGCACAAAATCATCATGACCAGTGAACCCGCTGTGCTCAGACAGGAGGTGCGCTACAACCGAGATGTCATTGGCCGTACAACTAGACATTTAGACTTCCTGTACCTACCTCGCTTCCGCACCAACGCTGGCAAAAGTACTTTTAGACACCGGGCGTGTTCGCTATATAATGCTCATGTCATTGGCTCAGACGTGCAGGGGGCGTCGTACGCGCGATTCAAGAGGATGATGAAGCTTCGGCTTACCAGTTAGTTTTTTTTTTGTACATTTAACACTGGCCTTTTACTGACGTGCTACTGTGCTACAGCCTGTGTGTCACAGACTGCTTTTTACTTTTTCTTCATTCGCTTTTATGTATATTTTTAGCGGGTTTATCCGAATTGTATGACGAGGGCTCATAATAGCCACTTCTTGTGGACGAGTGCCGATGCTGTCAAATAAATAAATAAATAAATAAATATTACGTTTAATGGTCTGTGTCTAACAGAAGATTTATTGCCGAAGTACACACGCACGCACGCACGCACGCACGCACGCCACACAGACACAGACACACAGACACACAGACACACAGGCACACAGGCACACAGGCACACAGGCACACAGGCACACAGGCACACAGACACACAGACACACAGACACACAGACACACAGACACACAGACACACAGACACACAGACACACAGACACACACACAGACACACAGACACACAGACACACAGACACACAGACACACAGACACACAGACACACAGACACACAGACACACAGACACACAGACACACAGACACACAGACACACAGACACACAGACACACAGACACACAGACACACAGACAGACACACAGACACACAGACAGACACACAGACACACAGACACACAGACACACAGACACACAGACACACAGACACACAGACACACAGACACACAGACACACAGACACACAGACACACAGACACACAGACACACAGACACACAGACACACAGACACACAGACACACAGACACACAGACACACAGACACACAGACACACAGACACACAGACACACAGACACACACACACACACACCCACACACACACACACACACACACACACACACACACACACACACACACACACACACACACACACACACACACACACACACACACACACACACTGAAAATCATATTCCCTCAGCAGAGAGAAAAATCATATTCAAAGACCCTCAGCGAAGACAAAATGAAAAATCACATTCCAAAATGTTGCCACCAGGGCCTCGTTTCATTAAGCGAGTCCGTAACTTACGGCGTTTTTTGGTCTTGTATTGCAGGTGCATGTGAAGCGATGCCGTTAGTTTGAATCGTTGAATTTATTTATCTTGCAAGCAAGAATAGCAGGGAGAAGGGGAAATAAATTTATCGCTTCACATGCACTTGCAATACAAGACCAAAAAACCGGCGTAAGTTACGAACTCGCTTCAGGTGGTTGCCAAGAGGTACCGCTTGTGATATAGGAGGGTTTTCAACAATTTTCAGCTAAAGGCCTATCAGGAAAATTTTCTGAAAATTGACTTACAGAAATGACTCCGGGGGACAAGAGGGTTAAGCTCCTTTCACACACGAATTAACCCGGCAGGCGGTGGGCCTCCCGGCCACCTTCTACGCGGTGGGGGGGGGGCATTTTTGCCCCCCGTATCTCCGAAACTACTGGACGGATCCGGAAAATTAAAACAGCGTTCGATAGCTCTGTCAAATTTGTCGAACCAAACCAAATTTCATTGACGTCGGGGTCACCGATGACGTCACAGTTCAGGTCAAAGATAAAATGTTTCACCGTTCACGGGTCCTCTAGGGAAAGCGCTATAACGCCGAGTAAAACACCTTTTGTCGAAAATCAGCGATAGAGCGTCAGTTTTCTAGTACACATGTTGCTCTTAGAGGTCACTGGTCATACCAGGTCACAGGTCAGGTCACCAAGGGTCACCACATGAACCCAACTTTACTAAGGTTGTGCGATGCATGTTTTATGGCCAGTTTTTCATTTCCAACTCAATGGTGTTGGTTATAAGACCATCAGGTACGGTTTAGGTCACTTTCTGGTGGAGGTCAGGTCAAGGTCAGGTAAAAAAGGTCAAATTTCAAAGTTGTTAGTTTTGCATAAAATGGGTATTGATTCGATGCAGCTCGACACGAGGAGTCTAATGGTAGTCTTTGTTTTGCGCTGCGAGTTCTAGAATTGCTAAAAAATTGAGTTTGAAAATTTGACGTCATCAATTTTTGAAGTTTTTTCGCTATAACTTGGCCAAAAAAGAGGTATCCATCTCAAATTTGGTATGTAGATAGAAGGTGGTAGGGACTATCACATGTTTCCGTTTTCTTTTAAATTCAAAGAACATTTTGGATTTTTCGGCTATTATATTCAAAAAATCTATTTTTTATTATTGGGGGTCAAAATTCAAAAATTTCAAAAATCCGAGATAACATCTTTGTAGGCCACTAAATTCTCCACCTTTTATGTCTGAAACATTTTTCTGTATCTCTAAAGCTGTAGGCCTGACAGCTCTTCCCGCGAAACCTTTTTTGGGTCGAAAATGGCAAAAATGACGTCACTCTGACGTCATTACCGGCCAACCTATCATAGCCTTTGGAAAAAACTGGTCACAATGTGCAATAGCTATTCATGGGAAGGTACTGAAAGTTTGGTGACGATCGGCGGAGCGGTTCTGGAGATATATCGAAAAAACTTAAGTGGGAGGGCAAAAAAATGCCCCCCACCGCCTGGAAGGTAAATGCCGTTGAAGCCGGTGGTACTCACGAGTTAATGCCGTCGTAGCCGGCACCGATGCCCACGTGGTCCACGCCAGCAACTCTCCGTATGTGGTTTATATGCGCTAGAACACACAGAAAAAAGCACAGTTGGTGCAACTGCAAAACCTGCTAAAAGAAAATGTTGAGTGGAAAATTTATGAGCGGATAGTATTTCGTCATAATTGATGGCATTACCATGATCTGACAGAGGTACAGTCCACTGATAAAGTATTTTGCTGTTTTACCAATTTCAACAGATATCTTTGACTGACGACTTTTAAATACGGAGTGATCCTGGGCCCAGTATCACCAAGCTCTGTTTGGGGTAGTTTCGCCGAAACTACCCCAAACCAGTTTCACCAAGTGGGGTAGGTTCTGATTGGCCACTTCCAAACTACCCCATGGGGTAGTTTTTATTTTACCCCAAATTTGCCATGCAAACAGATGCTCACGGTCCGTGAGCATCTGAACAAGCCAATCAATCAGCTGTTTGCCGGCAATTCTACCCCAAATATCCCACCAAAATTACGGCAGACATTCGTGGGGTAATCTGTGAATATGATACCAATTGTGAGCAAGAATTGACAGTAAAATAGTAATAAGAACATAATTTATTGAAGTCCAATCACCTGTCATGTTTGAGTATGCATTATTCATAGCATACTTCAAGTTTCATCCAAGTATTTTATACTGCATGTAGCCTGCGCCACCTATGCTTGTGATCTGCAACACCCAAAAATAGCACTATTGATGTCGCCCTAGCTGAATGCCAGAATTTTTACTTTTTAACTATTAAAGGTTTTCCTTCAACAGTGACCTTGAATACCGGATGAGGAAGACTTGAAATATAAACAATAAAAATGCACATTCTTCACGGTGGTTATATGCTGACGCTGTGCCTTGTTGAAATGATCATAGTACCTATTACAACTTGTGTGATCTATTCAAATTATCATTTGAGGTACCTATACGCCTTACGGTCAATGTGCAAATATCAAGCAAATGTCAAGACGCTTACAACTGAAATCAAGATAAAAAATGCCGTACCTAAATCAGCAAGAGGATGTGTCATGCATAACTAGGTAATTCTCATTAGAAATAAAAAGCATATGGTGCAAGTAATTCGTAATAAGCAGTTGTTAAAAACACCAGGCCAAGTGGATTCGATACTTTCCATATCTATTTTTCATTTTTGTCGCTGTTGTGCATATCTCAATAAAGTTGTGTTAAATGTGCCGTGCATCTGTAAGTGGTATGTATTTTGCGCATTTTGTAGTGCACATTAGAAATAAATAGCATCTGATGCAAAAGATTCGTAGTTAAAAGTCGTCAAAAATACCAAGCAAGGTGTATTCGATACTAAAACATGCACTAATTTACTAAAACATTCTAATTATAAAACACTAAACATCTAATCTAATCTAAAACATCTAATCAAACATCTAATTTACTAAAACACTAATTAAATTTAAAACATTCGATACTATTCGATAATAAAACATGCCTTTGTTCTGTAACCTATCCATCAAGATTCGCGGCTGTGCATTGCATTCCTTTCTCAATAAAGGTGTGAATCTTGGAAACTGAGGTGCCATGGTGTCATCGTTACCAAGGTGATTGGTAGACAAATACAAGAAGCCAAATCAAATGTGTTCTTCATTTCACGCCGTCGTGAAATGAAATTCTCGACCAATCAAAACGTTCCGTTGTTTTGCTGATGCTGCTTGCTTAGCAAACATTCACAAGAGACGCCGAAACTACCCCATGGGGTAGTTTGAGCATGGTGAAACTGGATTCTACCCCATGGGGTAGAATGGAAATCTACCCCATGCCGAAATTACCCCACTTGGTGAAACTGGGCCCAGGAGTAGGCACAAAAAAGTTGTCCATTGGATGCAGTTTGAGCTCAGCAAGGGCGGATCCAGTGGTGGGGGGGGGGCATAGGGGCCAAGCCCCCCCCCCATTTGGTGCTGTAAGGGGGGCCAACATATCTTTTGGCCCCCCTTTCATCCGTGTTGTTTCTCACAGCCGGCCAATTTTTCAGAACTATTTTCACCATTTTCATCGACGCTCAGGCCGAACATCAACTTTTTTGTTATAGGTAGGTAAATATGAACAGAGATTTACGCACGAACGCAATTCAGCGTGCAGGCAACCAGCTTATGCAGCACAGACGACTTTATTTTCGACTTTATGTCCGTTTGGCCGTAACTGCAAGGCGCCGAGGCTGGCCGCTGCAGCGCTGGCTTCTATTTGTCCATGTTCTGCTGGAAGGTAGCCCAAAGATACTCGATCAGGATTAGGGTCCGGATGGTAGCCGGTTAATATCTTCAGAGTTCCGGCAGGCTCGATTTGGACAACCGCCTGGACATTGGTAGAGCAATGAGCTGGCGCGCCGTCCTGCATGAAAATGCGTGTTGACCTGTCATCCACCGTCGAGGCCATGCGTCGACTAAGAACTGAGCGGCTGGAGGCTATTGTTGGTAATGGGCCTCAGTGAACTCTTCTACTTCTAACATCTAGCGTTTCATGGTCCTGTCTGGAGGTGGGATTGTCCTTGAGCGTAAGCAGCTTTGCCAAATTATTCAACAATTGACCACTGTTTCTGGCCGCCATTTCAATGCGATTTCTGCCCCCGACCAAATGGTGGGCGAATGCCCGATCTCGGACAATCAGCAACACTGCCAGCAGCCGTATGCTTATCCCACCAGTGCGGGACTGCATGCAAGCAGATGTCCCAACTGACTAGAAATAACACGCTGTGTTATTTTGGCCTGAAGTATGTCGACTGTCTGGTTCAGCTCCCCGAGAAAGAAATTCCTTACCTTCATTTTGCCTTCATTTTGCGGCGCGGTCATTCGGGGGGGGGGGGTGAATCTGTGTATAACTTTCATTATAGCTCGGTGACCTATGGCCCGAGGTTCGGTCGCGGCCTCATCTTCCGCGGCCAAGGACCGTGCAATGCAAGGGTGCAGCCAAAATATTTATCCCTTAGGGGTAGAAACGATTAGAAACCGGATAAGTGTTGTCACAGGTAGAGGACAACACTTTTGCCGGACCGTGCATAAGACCACCCTGCAGTTTCTATTCAATCGGCTTTGATCCAGCAAAAATAGTCACGCGTTAAGGCTGAGCTACACTATGCGTGACCGTCCAGGAAATTACGTGCGTGATCTGCAGATCCGTGATTGCGAGACTCCCTTGACATCGGTTTCTGCGATTTTCCAGAATTTCCGTGAATGATTGTATTCTTACGTAATTACGAGCGAGCGAGCGCAGCGAGCGAAGTGAGTCTTTTCAATATAACGGAAAAATCTCAGTATGAGCGGCCCGGCCCGGCCCGGCCTGTAACGCTTTTGAGAGGCTTATATCTCAGCAACCGCTGGACCGATTGGCCTGCGGTCTTTTTTTTTGTTGGGTAGCCCCATCCCTTCTACCCCGTAATTGACGACTTTTGATACATCTCAGTGACCGTCGTGGCACGTGCCACGTGAAAAGTCAAGGGTGTTCAAGCTGTTTTGCAAAAGTAGTGATTTTGAGAGGCTCATATCTCAGCAGCCGCTTGGGCGATTGACTTGCGGTAATTTTTATAGGGTAGCAGCATCCCTTCTACCAAAAATATGATACTCTCGATGCATGTGGGTCACCCCCAGTGCACGTGCAAAATACAACAATAAGAGGTGCCAAATTTGTTCCCATTTCAGTAACTCGGTAATTACTGGGGCGATTTCGCTAAAACTTGGCATATATGTAGGCACCCACCAGGCAATGCATTCCCATGTGTTGCGGTTAAGGTGCTACTACACGTGCGCACGTGCAGGGGGCGTTTCCAGATCTCGAGAACGGCTGGGCCGATTGCGCTCAAATTTGGTACACGGTTGGGGACCAGTAAGTAGGGTGCCGTGCAAAAGTCATTTTGGACCCCGTTTGCACGTGCGCACGTGCAGAATGCCGCTTCCAGATCTCAGGAACGGCTGGGCCGATTGCGTTCAAATTTAGCACACCGCTAGCGACCAGCTAGAAGGGTGCTTTGCGCAAGCCCGTTGGAAGCACCCTCTCGCCCTTCCGCACGTGCAGGGCTCACTATCTCGCTCGCTCGTTCTTCGCCCTAAAGGCGTTTTACTGGTAATAACAACTAACCAGTAAAACGTCTTTTGGGCGAAGGACGAGCGAGCGAGATAGTGAGCCCTGCACGTGCGGAAGGGCGAGAGGGTACTTCCAACGGACTTGTGCAAAGCACCCTTCTAACCGGTTGCTAGCGGTGTGCCAAATTTGAACGCAATCGGCCCAGCCGTTCCTGAGATCTGGAAGCGGCATTCTGCACGTGCGCACGTGCAAATGGGGTCCAAACTGACTTTTGCACAAACATCTAATCAAACATCTAATTTACTAAAACACTAATTAAATTTAAAACATTCGATACTATTCGATAATAAAACATGCCTTTGTTCTGTAACCTATCCATCAAGGGCCCAGTTTCACCAAGCTCTGTTTGGGGTAGTTTCGCCGAAACTACCCCAAACCAGTTTCACCAAGTGGGGTAGGTTCTGATTGGCCACTTCCAAACTACCCCATGGGGTAGTTTTTATTTTACCCCAAATTTGCCATGCAAACAGATGCTCACGGTCCGTGAGCATCTGAACAAGCCAATCAATCAGCTGTTTGCCGGCAATTCTACCCCAAATATCCGACCAAAATTACGGCAGACATTCGTGGGGTAATCTGTGAATATGAAACCAATTGTGAGCAAGAATTGACAGTAAAATAGTAATAAGAACATAATTTATTGAAGTCCAATCACCTGTCATGTTTGAGTATGCATTATTCATAGCATACATCAAGTTTAATCCAAGTATTTTACTGCATGTAGCCTGCGCCACCTATGCTTGTGATCTGCAACACCCAAAAGAAGCATTATAGATGCATCGCCCATAGCTGAATGCCAGGATTTTTACTTTTTTAACTATTAACCCTCGCCGGCACAGGCCATTTTGCGTCCTTCGACGGCACAAGGGGGGGGGGGGGGGTTGGTACGACCCCCCTCGCGTTTGGCACCTGATCGAGCTAGAGCTTCGCGAAAAAA